AGATACAGAAGACAGAATACACCAACTGGACCAAAAAGTGACAGATATGGAAAAATCACTCAAATTAAACCAAAGGGAAATTCAAGAGCAAGCAGATAATGCTAAAAAATTTAACCTTCGCATAATCGGAGTGGACGAAGGTGAGGAATTCCAGAGCAAGGGAATGCAACACCTATTTAACAAGATAGTCAATGAAAATTTTCCCCACCTCAAAAACGACCATCTTAACTACATCACAAAAGCTTATCGAACACCCAACAAGCAAGATCCCAGGAGAAACACTTCTAGGCACATAATAGTAACAATGATGGATCTGAATAATAAGGAAACAATCCTGCATGCAGCAAAAATGAAGAAGGAGCTATACTACAACGGGAAAAAAATTAGAATCACTGCAGATCTCTCCACACAAACAATGAATGCAAGAAAAGCCTGGGAAAGCACCATACGAGCCCTGAGAGCCAATAACTGCCAACCCAGACTGATATACCCGGCAAAGCTAGCATTCACATTCGATGGAGAACTGAAAACTTTTAATAGCAAAGAAAAACTAAATGAATACATAAACATTAAGCCAGCATTACAAAGAATTCTAAGAGGGGGGACACAACCTGAAGAAAGCAACCAGGAACTGGGACCTGCCCCAAACAGGCATTACTCAAAGTCTAACTGAGCAAGCACAGGAGGAAAGGAAAGAAGAAAAACTTAGGAAAACGGAATGGCAGGGACAACAATGCATCTCTCTATACTTTCTCTTAATATAAATGGGCTGAATTCGCCAATTAAAAGAAAACGAACTGAGGACTGGATCAGAAAACAAGACCCATCCATCTGTTGCCTTCAGGAGACCCACCTCTCAGCCAAACATACAAACAAACTCAGAGTGAAGGGGTGGAAAAGGATCTACCAATCAAATTCCCCCAATAAGAAAGCAGGTGTAGCTATCCTGATATCTGACAAAATAAACTTTTCATTAAAATCAGTACAGAAAGACAAGGACGGACACTACATATTAATAAAGGGAACAATCCAAGAGGAGGATATAACCATCATCAACTTATATGCCCCAAATATCGGTGCACCCAGATATGTTAAACAAATGCTCTCAAACTTACAGAATAAAATAGATCCCAATACGATAATACTAGGAGACTTTAACACGCCACTCTCACCAAAGGACAGGTCTACCAACCAGAGGATTGGCAAAGAAGCTACCGAATTAAGTGAGGCCATACTTCAAGCGGAATTAACTGACATCTACCGAGTATTTCACCCTAAAACAACACAGTACACATTCTTCTCAGCAGCTCATGGAACTTTCTCCAAAATAGACCATATCATAGTTCATTCAAGGAACTTAAGCAAATACAAAGGGATCGACATAATCCCCTGTATCCTATCTGACCACAGTGGAATCAAGCTAGCTCTCAATAACAAAGCATACCGCAGAAATTTCTCTAATACATGGAAATTGAACAGCACACTCCTTAACAAGGCCTGGGTAACAGAAGAGATCAGAGAAGAAATAAAGCATTTCCTAGAACTCAATGAAAATGAAAACACCTCACAAAGAAACTTGTGGGACACAGCAAAAGCAGTCCTGAGGGGCAAATTTATTGCCCTCAGTGCCCACATCAAGAGAATGGAGACAGACCAAGTAAATAATCTCATGTTGCAACTAAAACAGCTAGAAAAACAAGAAAAAATGGGACCTAAAGCTACTAGACGAAGCCAGATAACCAAATTGAGAGCAGAGATTAACCAATTAGAAAATCAGAAAACCATAACCAAAATAAACCAAACAAAAAGCTGGTTCTTTGAAAAAATAAACAAAATTGATGGCCCGTTGGCAAGATTAATTAAAAAAAGAAGAGAGGAAACCCATATTAATAGGATTAGGGATGCCACGGGAAACATCACAACACGTACCCAAGATATCCAAACAATTCTAACAGACTACTTTCAAAAGCTATACTCTCTAAAGGAAGAAAATCTGGCGGAAATGGATGCATTTTTAGAGAAATACAAGTTACCCAAACTGAGCAAAGAAGAAGTTAACCAATTAAATAAGCCAATATCCTATAATGAGATACAGGAAGCTATCAAAAGTCTTCCAACAAAAAAAAGCCCAGGACCAGATGGATTCACAGCAGAATTCTATAAGACCTTTAAAGAAGAACTAATACCCATACTCCTCAAGCTCTTCAGAGAAACAGAGAAGGAGGGAGCTATCCCAAACTCATTCTACGAAGCCAATATCACACTCATCCCCAAACCAGGCAAAGACCCAACCAAAAAGGAGAATTACAGGCCAATCTCCTTGATGAACACAGATGCAAAGATCCTTAACAAGATTCTAGCTAACAGAATCCAGAAACACATAAAAAAAATAATACACTATGATCAGGTAGGCTTCATCCCAGAGACACAGGGATGGTTTAACATACGTAAGTCAATAAATGTAATCCAGCATATCAACAGAGCCAAGGTCAAGAATCACATGATTATCGCCACAGATGCAGAAAAGGCCTTTGATAAAATTCAACATTCATTCATGCTAAAAGCTCTGGAGAAAATAGGAATAGAAGGAACATTTCTAAAAACAATAAAAGCCATTTATGACAGACCAATAGCCAATATTATACTTAATGGGGAAAAGCTACAACCAATCCTCCTAAAAACAGGAACAAGGCAAGGATGTCCACTGTCTCCACTCCTCTTCAACATAGTCCTAGAACCCTTAGCCAGGGCAATAAGGCAAGAAAAAGACATCAAAGGGATCCGCATAGGGAAAGAAGAAGTGAAACTATCCCTTTTTGCAGACGACATGATACTATACCTCCACGATCCCAAAAACTCCATCCCCAAACTTTTAGAAATCATAAGTCACTTCGGCAAAATAGCAGGATACAAAATAAACCCACAAAAATCAGTTGCCTTCCTATACACTGATAACGCACAGGAAGAGAGGGAAATAAAGGGAGCAACCCCATTCACAATAACCTCCCAAAAAATAAAATATTTAGGAATTAACCTAACCAAAGATGTAAAAGAACTATTTAATGAGAACTATAAAAAGTTAAAGAAAGAAATTGCAGAAGACACTAGGAAATGGAAAGACCTCCCATGCTCCTGGATAGGCCGACTTAATATAGTAAAGATGGTGATACTTCCAAAATTAATATACAAATTCAATGCAATTCCTATTAAAATCCCAATGACGTACATCACTGAAATACAGAAAACAGTCCAAAAATTTATATGGAACAACAAAAGACCTAGAATAGCCAAAACAATTCTAGGGGATAAAGACAATATGGGAGGGCTATCCATGCCGAACTTCAAACTCTACTACAGAGCTATAATCACAAAGACAGCATGGTACTGGCACAAAAACAGACCCGAAGACCAATGGAACAGAATAGAAGATCCAGATATAAATCCACAGGCCTACAGCCAGCTGATATTCGACAAAGGAGCCAAAGACATACAATGGAAGAAACACAGCCTCTTCAACCGCTGGTGCTGGGAAAACTGGGCAGCCACATGCAGAAAACTAAAAGTGGACCCCAGCCTATCACCATGCACCAACATCAACTCAAAATGGATTAAAGACCTTAACATTAAATCTGAATCTCTGAAACTACTGCAGGACAGAGTAGGAGAGACACTTGAACTAATAGGCACAGGAAGGAACTTCCTGAACAGAGTCCCAGGGTCACAACAAGTTGGAGAGAGACTCGACAAATGGGACTACCTTAAAATAAAAAGCTTCTGCACAGCTAAATCTATCGCAACTAAGCTAGAAAGACAACCAACTAATTGGGAAAAAATATTTACCAGCAATATATCAGACAAGGGGTTAACATCCTGTATATACAGGGAACTCAAGAAACTAATCCCTCCCAAACCTAACAAACCAATTACTAAATGGGCAAGGGAACTAAAGAGGGACTTCTCAAATGAAGAAATAAAAATGGCAAAGAAACACATGAGGAAATGTTCATCATCCCTGGTGGTGAAGGAAATGCAAATAAAGACAACCCTGAGATACCACCTTACCCCAGTCAGAATGTCCCACATCCACAAATCAGCCAACGACAAATGCTGGAGGGGATGTGGAGAAAGAGGAACCCTATTACACTGCTGGTGGGAATGTACACTTATACAACCACTTTGGAAAGCAGTCTGGAGGGTCCTTAGAAAGCTAAAGATTGACCTCCCTTACGACCCAGTCATACCACTTCTAGGCATCTACCCTGAACAACAGGAACCAATATACAAGGACACGTGCACCTCCATGTTTATTGCAGCACTGTTCGCAATAGCTAGGATATGGAAACAACCTAGGTGCCCCACCACAGATGAATGGATCCAAAAATTGTGGTATCTATACACAATGGAATATTATGCAGCCATTAGAAATGACAAAATAATGGCATTTGCAGGGAAATGGATGGAGCTAGAAGGAATCATGTTGAGCGAGGTAAGCCAAGAACGAAGAGACAAACGGTACATGGTCTCCCTCATAAGTGGATGCTAAATCCAAAAGGTTAGTGATACGACAAAACTAACAGGACTTAAGAAACAAAGAACTCCCGCTCATCTGGTTGAACCACTACTAAATATCCTCATGCTGCTGATCACAAATATGGTATATAACATGTGAACACTGTTATATATTACAGACTGTGGTAGACAATTTGCTCCAGGGAAGTTAGAATGAACTTGTGACTTTGAAATTATGTAATCATTTAATCACAATCAAAAAAAAAAAAAAAAAGAACCTCGGGGAAGGGAGGGAGGGAGGGGATGGTAGGGGGAAAACAATGGAGGGGGTAACAATGTTCAAGAGGAAGTGTACTCATAACCTCACTCATGTAACTGTAACCCTCTGTATAGTAGCTTTACAATAAAAAAATAAAATAAAATAAAAAAAAAAAAAAAAAAAAGAGGTGTGGGAGGGAGGGAGGAAAAGAGGGAGGGAGGGAACGGGACAAGGTGAAGACAGGGAAAGGAAGAAGGAGATGGGAAGCAGGGCCTGTGTGGAGTGGAATTCAAAGCCAGTGGCTTTGTGTCAGCAGCAGGAGAGGCTCAAAAGGGCGCCTCCCTGGAAGTGTAGGCCACCATGAGGGCCCGCTTCAGCTGCTCATAGGTGACGAACATCACCACGTTCCAGGACCCCAAGCGGAGAAAGGAGGGCATGAACCTAGGAGAGACAAAACACAGGTCACAGGGGACATTTGCACCTCCGTCTTCAACCCCAGGACTCTGAGACTCACAGCTGTGCAGCTAGGAGCAAAAATCCTCTCTGAGATGCCCCTCCCTTTCTATGGTTCTAGGGATGGAACTGAGGGCCTGTGGTGCTAGCACTTGCTAAAACTAACCCCCAGCATTGAGTCCCCATTTTAAGAGCTACAAACCAAGATGACAGTCCTTCTGGGAAGTAACTCCTCCCCACCAGGAAGCCTGGAGTTGGGGGTGGGGGAAATGGGAAGCTCACCCCTTATAGAAGGCTCGGGGCCCTTCCTTCTGGAGCATGGTAAGGGCACAGTGGCCAGCGCTGCTGTACTGGCCCAAGGCAGAGTTCATATATCTTGTCTTGACCACATCAACAGGGGAGGCGATGACGGTGGTACAGAAGCCCGCCCCAAAAGCGGAAGTGAAATGGCAAGGGAGGTCATCTGCCAAGAAGCAGAAGGCAAAGCAGTCAGCATTTTCCACCCATCCAAAGGAAAAAAAAATGCTTAAGTAGCTATGAGTCTCCTATTTTAAAGTATCAGAGACTTGCCAGGTGCTGGTTGGCTCATGCCTGTAATTCTAACTCAGAGCTGAGGGCTGTGATTTGAAGCAAGCTAGTGCAGAAAAGTCCTAAGTGGACTTAGGCAAAAGTGGAGCTGTGGCTCAAGTGGTAGAGCACCAGCCTTGAGCAAAAAGCAAGCTGAACAAAAGCATAAGGCCTTGAGTTCAAGCCCCAGGACAGCTCCATATAGCAATTTCTCTCTCTCTCTCTCTCTCTCTCTCTGTGTGTGTGGGGGGGGGGGGGGGGGGCCTGGGCTACTGTCTCTCAAGCTTGTTTTGGTCAAGGCTAATGTTCTACCATTTGTGCCATAGCTCTATTTCTGGCTTTTTGGTGGTTAATTGGAGATAAGAGTCTCATGTACTTTCCTGCCTAGACTGGCTTTAAACTGTGATCTTTAGATCTCAGCTTCCTGAGTTGCTAGGATTACAGATGTAAGCCATGGCCACCTGACTCAATCTCACTCTTTAAGCAAAGGGCAAACAGGGTGGAAAGATGTGGTCCTCAGACAACTAGCCCCCTATCCCTTCCTGCATCATTAACTTTTACTCACCTGTCATGAGGTTGGCCTTTAGGAGGGTGTCCTTGATGAGGTCATAGGTCACCAGCTCAGCACAGTTGACAATGGCATTGCGAGCAACATTGGGAGAGGTCCCTACAGGTGGAGAGAGGGTCTGTGTGAGATCAGGCCATAGGGGAGGGGAAGGTAGGAAATGTAGGGGACATTTGGTACCCACCTTTCCAGAGTCCCCGGAACCCTTCCTCACGAGCAATGGTCTTGTAGGCATCAAGGGTGCTTTGGTACCTTCGGCCACCTCCAGCCCGGGCCTGAGCTTGGAAGCGGACCTTCACCACATCTGTGGGCTGGGCCACAGCGACAGCCAGAGCCCCTGTGGTGCTGCCTGCTAGGAGGCGGCTCCCAATGCTGGCATCTGTGGGCACATGGGAGTCAGAGGCCAGCTAGGCTTACACTTCTTTTTTAATCACTCAAACTGCCACATCACTGTCATCTAACTTGAAGAAATAGGCTCCAGGCCAGCTATTGCTCTAAAATACCCTTGCATCATCTGGGTGCATTATCATGCCTGTGATCCTAGCTGTTCGGAGGCTAAGATGTAAGGATCAAAAATCGAAGCCAGTGCTGGGAAGCTGGCTTAGTGGTAGAGCACTTACCTTGCATGCATGAGGCCCTGAGTTCGACTCCTCAGCACCACATAAGCAAAAAAAAAAGCTGGAAGTGGAGCTATGGCTCAAGTGGTAGAGTGCTAGCCTTGAGCTGAAGAGCTGAGGGACAGCGCCCAGGCCCATGGCTCAGGCCCCATGACTGACAAAAAAAAAAAAAATCAAAGCCATTCATCAAACTCTTAACTCCAATTAACCAGCAAAAAGCTAGAAGTGGAGTTGTGGCTCAAGTGGTAGAGTGCCAGCCTTGAGTGAAAAACTCAGGTTCTAAGTTCAAGCCCCAGTACCAGCACCCAGGACAACAAAATCCTCTCATCAGACAATATCATTCCTAAAACATGTTCATTTAACCTACTCAAGTGCTAAGAAACTTTCTGTTTAACAAATCCAAGGCTAAGAGAAATAGCTTTCTGAGGTATTGGGACTCCTAAGACTGGCAAACTTTTAGCTCAGGTACTTGGCTTCCTCACATACAAAATAGAGGGAGGGTGAACATGGCATGCTAAGAAAGAGAAGTGGGCGAGGTAGGTGCTGGTGGCTCACACCTGTAATCCTAGCTACTCAGGAGGCTGAGATCTGAGGATCACAGTTCAAAGCCAGCCTGGGCAGGAAAGTCTATGACACTCTTATCTCCAATTAACCACCAGAAAACCAGAAGGGAAGCTGTGGCTCAAAGTAGCAGAGTGCTAGCCTTAAGCGAAAGAACCCAGGCCCTGAGTTCAAGCCCCACAACTCATAAAAAAAAAAAAGCAAAAGAGAAAAGAGGAAGAACCACCAGCCTTGGACACAAGAGTGTGATTTCTGCCTCCCATTTGTGTCCTTGGCCAGGTCTCTCCCTCACTTCAAGCCTCCAGTCTCTTGTCATCCTCCAGGATAATGCCACCTACTCCCAAGGCCCTTGTGAGAAGGGCTGCCAAGGGAAGATGGCCTGCTCAGAGCCTGGCACAGCTCTGGTGCTCAGAAGTTAGGAGGTGAATTGAATCTCTTCCCCTGCTCCATTTCTCTCATCCTCCTAAGGATCTTAGAACCTAAAGAAGCTATTCGGCCAAATGAACTAACATCAATCAAGAAAAAGGCTACTGGCTAGGCCCAGGCCAAGGTGTCCATGCCCCAGTCCACACTCACGCTCTGAGCCCTTGGTGTAGAACTGCTTGACGGAGTCGTAGAGACCGATGCGGACTGAGGCGAAGCTCATCTGGCGCTGCAGGCCGGCCACCAACCCATTGTAGAGGCTGCGGGGCCCCTCGGTGCGCACCATGGTCAGGATGGTGCCCAGCACGCCACGGTACTGGGTGCTGGCCATGGTGCGCACTGGCCCCTGACTCTCTCCTTGGATCTGCAAGACCAAAACAGCATGGCTATAAGAATAAGTAGGGGGCTGGGAAGGTGGCTCAGTGGTAGAGTGCTTGCCTTGCATGCATGAGGCCCTGGGTTTGATTCCTCAGCTCCACATAAGCAGAAAAAACCTGGAAGTGGTGCTGTAGCTCAAGTGGTAGAGTGTTATCCTTGAGCTGAAGAGCTGAGGGACAGCGTCCGGGCCCAGAGTTCAGGACCCATAATCGACAAAAAAAAAAAGAATAAGTAGGTTATCTGTCTTCTACCATTCTGATGCTCAAAATCACCCCCGGCCTGACCCTTGGGGACTCAGTGTTCCTGGGAAGGGAGCAGATTAGATTCCGTCAAGACTCTGGGCTTCATCCTCACCTGCAGCCGGACTTTAGCAGTGTCCAGAGGAAAGGTGATGAGATCTGCTATGCAAGCAGCTGTGCCGGCTCCCAGGAACTTCACAGCAGCAGTAGGGGGCACATCTGTGGCCTTGAACCCAACCATGATTCTGATTTCCTTCTACCTCCCAGGAGATGGAGAAAAATTGATGAAGAGGGTACCTTCAATCAGCAAGACAAGATACAGGAACTCTGCCAGAATCTACGCCAAAAGAAGAGAGTCTGCATCAACCAAAGCACTCCAGGCTTCCCCTGATCACCACCCCTGTTTACCCTGGCAGTCCAAGTCCTTAGGCAGGACTAAATGGGCCCTGCAGGGAACATCGGAGAAAGCTGGAGAGAGACCTGAGAAGGCGCTGTAGTAGTTCCACTGAGTTATTTATTATTAGTTATTACTAATATTATCTATTATTTATTATTTGTGAAGGGCTTTCTCTGGTTCACTGCAGCAAGTATGGATCAGGGCAATCTTAGTGCTGCCCCACCCACGTAGCCCGTAGCCCCTGGTCCACTTGTGACAGAGATTACACTGATGAGGTCCAGGTTCCTGCCCTGCACGTCTATCCTCAAGGCTGACAGAAGTAGGCAAAGTTCTACCAGACCAAGGCAGGACAGGCAAAGACCTACAGGCTTTCCCGGGTTTTAGGCAGGAGGCAGTCTGATGGATCAGGAATTACTGAAGAGGAGAAAAGGAAGGGACAATGTGTGAGTAACTTAATCTCTTCCCAGTCCCTATACAACTCAGGCCCTATAGTCATTCTCTCAAGTCTGCTCTGCTGGGCACTGGTTCACCGAGTCACAGTGGACAATATCCACCCTTGAGAGGCCTTATTGTTAGGCACAGGGGTGAGTGGGCAGGTGATTCTAGCTGCATTGGGGCTTGCAGGCCATCCTCTCTAAATACAGAGGAGGAAGCATCTGACTCCATTGGGAGTAAGGAAGAGGGGCTCAGACTGTGGCCTATCAGAAGGCCAGTTTCCTAGACAATCTGCATTTTTTTAAAAAAACAGAGATTGGAGAAACAAGTCAGAGCTACAAAGAAGCAGGAAACCTAAAATTTCATTTTGTTGTATTTTGGGAGTCCGTTTGTTTGACAGGGTCTCTCCATGAAACCCAAGTTGACTTCTAACATGAGATCTTCCTGCCTCCACTTCCATGCTTACAGATGTATATTACCACACAAGGCCCAAAGACTCCATTTGGTATTGGAGTTGGAACACCCTCCTCCACTGCGCCTCAGGAGGAAGTGAGCCCAGCACCCCAGTGGAGGAGGGTGACCTGCTTCTATTTCCCCTGAGTTCACTTCTCTGATTTCATAGGAGCAGCTGCTCTGGGCCCAGTTGATTGGCTGTGGCTGTTGCTGGGGCTCAAGAGGAAAACACTGGCTGAGGGAGGGAGGATGTGGTGGGAGTTACATGTGAGCACAGAGAACCATGGAAATGAACAACTCACCCCTTCTTCCTCCTGGGAACTCCAACCCTCCCACCTCCCTCCCACCCTTGTCTCTTGGGCAAACAGGACATCAAGATCACCTCACCATAGCAACGGCTCATGTTTCCCTGAGCCTGGCCCCCAGGAGGCTTGGTGAAACTAGTGCTTGGGTGGCAGAATGGTGGATAATGATGCTCCCACACTCCCTGGGTTCCATCCTGACACCCCTTCCTCCATAGGGGCTCTGCAGGTTGCCTCACCCCACTGTCCAGGTCCTCATAGCAGCTCTTTGGGGACACAGTACTTACTTCTGTGTTAGTACAAGGAACTTAGAGCCACGTCCACAGACTCCTAAGCTAAAACTGTTTGTTTTGTACTGTTGCCCAACTCCTTATTTCTTTCCTGCTGTTTTCTCGGAACCAGGTACAGACAGTACCTTTCACAAGGGAAGTTTCTTTATATCACTGAATTCAGGCAACTTGTATCTCTTCTCTAGATAGGAGAGATACGGTGGCCTGAGTCAATCACTTGCCTGAACTTGAGCCAGACTGAGTGGAAAGATCAGAGAAGACAGAGACCCTACTGCTGCCCACAAAGACAGAGGCTCAGCTGCCATTGTAAAAGTTGCCTTGGGGTTGTCTAATGTCAGGTCCTTCAGAGGGGTGGTTATGGGGACAAAGGTCATCCATGCTTAAGACAAGCCTAGAAACTTAATTGTATTTGATAGTCCCAGGAAAATAACCAATTTCAGAGCTCAAAAAGTAATCTCAGTTCCAGAGAAAGCCAAAAGCTGGAGTCAACAATATTAAGTTATAACTATAGCTGGGCGCTGGTGGCTCACACCTGTAATCCTAGCTACTGAAGAGGCTGAGATCTGAGGATCATGGTTCAAAGCCAGCCTGGGCAGAAAAGACTGTGAGACTCTTATCTCCAATTAACCACCAGAAAACAGGAAGTGGTGCTGTGGCTCAAGCGGTAGAGCGCTTGCCTTGAGCTGAAGAGCGTAGGGATAGCGCCAAAGTTATAACCATAGGTACCTATCCTAGGTCTGCTGCTGAGTCTCAGGGTGACCTGGAAGCAATCAATGGGCCCCAGATCCTCCTATATACAACAGAGATCACCATCGTTGTCAGGGTTGGCTGAAGGGTGGAAGGAAACCAGAAATGATGATAGCGCTTAGTGAACTGGGAAGCTGGTGGTAGATGTTTTTGCTATTGTCTTGAGGATCCCAGCCTCCAATATCACAGCTCTGAGGGACTGGGAGGAGCCAACTCCCTCAGTCCGGACTCTTACCTGGCTTTGTAAGGTCTCACGCTGTGAGGCCTTCCAAGATCAAGCTTCTCTAAAAGCGTCCCATTCTTCAAAATTGCCAGTGGCTATCATGGCCCGATCCCCTTGATTTTCCATAGAAAATGAAGGCCAGGAGACGAAACACCTAAAGGTCATACTATGTGTTCTGTAGGTGAAAGAAAACAAAGGAGCAGAGTTTAGAAAAGAGAATCTACCATGAAGGAACACACTCCAGCAAGGAAAGGACACACAATTCTGCGAGGCCCTTAACTATGTCACTATAAGCAGTCAAGGACTAATTGTGTATGCATTATCTTTGGAGTCTTTCCTCTCCAGTCCACTTAGTATCACACGTTGGCTCCCTCCAGGTTTCTGCTTTTCTGATAGTCCTCTAAATAAACATCCTCTAAGCACTCAGCAGCCTGCAGAGTGTGGGTGTTGGCCCAGGGATGGGGGTGGGGGGCCGGTCAATAGACAGTCTCTGAGTTGGCTAGGGTCCAAACTAGGGCTGTGAAGAGGTTGGCCGGGCTGGATGCAGGCTGGGCAGATGGAGAAGCTCACCAACTCCTTTGGGAGGAAACAGCCTCAGAAAAGGCATCAGGGCCTATGGCCTGGAGCCACCACGTGGGGACTCTCATTCTGATCCTCTCTGACACGCGGGAAGCCCCACCCGAGGCAGGTCAAGAGAAAGGAGCAAAAGGGTAAGTTGTAGCCACCTAAACGCGAGTTGAGGAGTGAACACCAGGGAGTTAGTAAAAGGATCGGAGGAGACAGAACACAAAGACCAAGCGAACAGAAGACAAACACAATCAGTGTAGGAGGAGGGAAGAGAAATTCTAAAAAGGCAGAAGCGCTTGAGTCCACACAGAGGGGCACAGCGGGCGGGGAGCAAGTGTGGCGCGCGCTGGGCTGGGGCTGGGCTCACCGGACCGCAGGGAGAACACACGAGTGCCAGCAGCTGTCAGTCGGCGGGCGCGGGAAGGAGGCACGGACAGTACTAGATCCGCAGGCACCACGGGCGGGACTTGAAGTGGAGTGGGGACTGGCAGAAGCGGGACGCCGTTCTCGGGAGGCGTGGCCTACGGAATGGGCGTGGCACATATGGGTGTGGCCTCGGAAGGGGCGGGGCCCGCCTGCTGCGAAGGCCAAGGGAGTCAGGAAGCCGTCGTCTCTGCGCCTCCTTCCATTTACATTTCCGCATTGACCCCTTTGTACCCCTCGAAGGACATCACCCCCCCCCTCCCTGGCCCGCCATCTTCACTGTGAGAATAGGCTGACCGATGGCCGGAAAGAAGCAATCCGTGACCAGGTCGAGACGCCCCAGGCCGCCCTGTCATGGTGGCCCGGAGGCTGGATGGGGTGCATTCTCTCCTTTACCCCCTCCCGACCCCGCGCGGGCTCCCGCGGGGCGGGGCCGGGACTAAGCCGGGCTGCAGGGGCAGGTGGCACGGCCGCCGTCAACGGCCGTTGGGCGCGGCTGGGGTTCCCGCCCTCCGCCACACCCGCTGTGTCCTTGGGGACCCCGAGAGACTGGAGGCAGGGGTGGGGCGGAGGCCCTCAGCGTGACCTCCGGCCTCCAGGCACCGGCCGGATGGCGCCCCAGGGAGGAGAACGCGAGTCCGGAGAGGGACCGGGGTCTCCCGGGGGTGACAGACTCCAGAGCCACCAGGACCGGAGCCCTGTGCCCGGGACGAACAAGCCTTCGGGGAGCGTCCTTGGACTCTGTCCCTACTCGGTGCCCTCTGTCCTCCTCCTCTGTTTTCATCCGTGTTTGGCACAGGGTGATGTTCGAGGGTTAGGTGAACCCCGACAGTGTAAGCCCCCCATCAGGAAGCTGCGGCCTTTGTTTCCGAGGAGGCCCTCCCCGGCGCGGGGACGCTTTCCGAGAGGCCCCGGGCAGTGGAGATGACGGTGTGTGAACTCCCTGCATCAGGCTCAGGGTGGACATGTAGGTAACTCTCTGAGGCCCGCATGAATCTTGATTTGTCCCAAGAGCAAAGAGCTCCACACAGGTGGAATCACTGGCCCAAAGTCACATAATGGTGAGCTCAGCCTCAAGCCCTGGCCAGTGTAGCACCAGGTATGTTTCCTGTATGGTCCGCAACAGCAGGAACTGTCCGGAACTGGACGGGGGTGGGGGGTGGGGTGGGGACCACAGCTGGAAGGAGGCCGGACAATGGGAGCTGGGAAAGAAAGCACGCTGTAGGAAGAAACACCTTGCACACCTCAAGTTCTGGAGCTAGGAGGCTGAGACAGAGGAACAGGAAGCTCAGGTCAGCCTGGGCTACGTAGTGAGACAGTGACTCCACACACACACACACACACACACACATTAGGATGAATATGGAATTCTATTTCCCCTAAGCATGGATCTCTCTCTCTCTCTCTCTCTCTCTCTCTCTCTCTCTCTCTCTAGTATGCTGGTACTGAGGCTTGAACTCAGAGCTTCGTGTTCTCCTTTGTTCCTCCGGCTAAAGGCTGACATTCCACCACTTGAGCCACACTTCCAGTCTGGTTTTTGCTTGTTACTTGGAGATACATAGTTCATTGACTTTTCTGCCTGGAATGGCTTCGAAGGGATCCTCAGATCTCAGCCTCCTGAGAAGCTAGGATTAAAGGCATGAGCTGCCATTACCTAGCCCTAACCATGTACTTTAAAAGAAGAAAACTTGTTAAAATATATTTTTGAGAAACACATTACCCATACACAATAGCATTTTACACAGCCATTAGAATATTACATCATTTGCAAGGGAAATAGATGGACATACATTGAGTGAGACAAGCCAAGCTTAGAGAGACAAATAGTGCACGTTTTCTCTCATATGCAGAAGCTAGACCTAAACTACACCTAGATCTAAACTACATTGGGACATGATAATTTATACATGTCTCTAGGCATTCACACACAGTGAGACCAAAGGAGGGAATACTCTTAAGAACACAAAGGCACAATGCCTATGTGTATCTGATCATACAAAATAATACTTATTGAAATATTTATTTGTTGAAATATTATTATTAAAATATGTCCAGGAAATTGTAGCAAGAGGGTTTTTCTTTTTTGCTGGTTTTGTTTTCTTTTGTCTTGTTTGTTCATTTATCTGTCATTGGGAGTACAAGGGCACAGAAATGGAGGGGGAAAGGGTGAACAAATGCAGCAATGGTACTCATTGCACACTAGGTATGTGTATATATATATATATATATATATATATATATATATATATATATATATACCTTGTGGGTGGGGTTGGGAGGGAAAAACTGGGAGAGAGCAAGGGAAGGGGTGACATTGTTCAAAAAATGTACTCTTTACCTGACTTATGTAACTCTAACCCCTCTGTACATCACCTTTATAATAACAATAAAAAATATTTTTTGTGGTGCCAGGAAAATCAAAGCAGTGCTTAGCAAGCAGCTTGCCCAAGTTATAAGCTGTCTTGTACTTTAGAGAATTTATGGGTACAGATAAGTACATAGAAAAGTTGTTTTACAACTACTTAAAAAAAACAAAAACAAAAAAACTCCGGCGCTCTGGGCTCTCGCTGGCCGCGCGGAGCCGGGACCGCGGAGGTCTGGCCTCGGCGTCTCGGCCAGACGCGTGCATGGAGGCCTCGGCGGGTGGATGGAACTACTTAAAAAAAAAAAAAAAAAAGCTGTTTTACATCTCATTGAGTTGTATACACAGTCATCTATCTGTACACATGGTGTATGTGCCAATAATCAAATTAACAAGGTCTCATAAAATGTACCTTTTTATTGTCATACTAGAAAATAGTGCTTTATGCTTACAGTTTTAGAACTTAAAATATTTACATATAAACTATTTGAAATACTGAAAATGTAAAATCACAGTCAAGAATTCATTGTATATACTACAAAATTAAGAAAAGTAGGAGAAGGGGTGAGTTGAAGGGGGGTGAGAATGTTGAGGTGGTGGCACTGATCAAGACGTATTGTATTCATAAACTGCTTTGCTGTATGGCACCTCCTTTGCACAACTACTTAAAGATAATTTAAAATATGTAAAATAAAATATAAAATAAATTTGAAAACAAGCTGATGAAAACTTACATGAAAAAGTCAAACATTTCCAATGGCCCTGATGATTCCTGTTAAATATATTGAGTAAATTGGCTGTATTAGTTCTACTCAATGAAACATTATATAATTGCATTTTTAAAAAGATCAAGAAAATTTGGTGATCATACTTTTTTCAATGATATGAAGTTGAATTTTTTTTTTTTTTTTGTCGGTCGTGGGGCCTGGGCGCTGTCCCTCAGCTCTTCAGCTCAAGGCGAGCACTCTACCACTTGAGCTACAGCGCCACTTCCGGTTTTCTGGTAGTTTATTGGAGATAGGAGTCTCACGGTCTCTCCTGCCTGGGCTGGCTTTGAACCTCGATTCTCAGATCTCAGCCTCCTGAGTAGCTAGGATTACAGGCATGAGCCACCAGCGCCCGGCTAATTTAAGAAAACCTTTGAGCAAAAAATAAGACCTTATCTCAAAAACAAATATAGCTAGATACTGATGGCTTTTGCTATAATCCTAGCTACTTGGAGATCGAAGAGTGTCTTCGTTTAAGATTAGACCAGGGGAAAAAAAGTTCAAAAGGCCCTAACTCAACTAAAAAACAAAAAACAAAAACAACCCACTACTACCACCACCATTACCAAAAAGAATAACAGGGAATGGTGGCATATTCTTGTAATTCTAGCTATTGGGGATAGGGGGTGTAGGGTAAAATGTAGGATCGTGGTCTAGGAGTTCCCAGGCAAAAAAGTGAGACTCTATTTGAAAGACAAAAACAACAACAAAATAACAACAAAACAGAAGAGGCATAACTTAAGTGGTCCAGTACCTTCCTGCCAATCACAATGCCCTGAGTTCAAACCCCAGAATGCCCCTCGCCCACCCTCTCCCATGGGCTAGGAATGTGGGGTATAGCAGAGGGTTTACCTAACATGCAAGAGAATTTTGGTTTTATCCCTAATACAAAATAAATCTTTGACATTCAATTAGCTTGAAATTTATTCTATTATAAGTTATGACTCAACTTATATAAAATTATTGTGGGAGGTTTAGCACAAGACATAATCTATTTCTAATGCAAACATTTTTTTTGGATAGAAAAAAAAGAAAAAGGAAATGACCTTGCTGAGCCCCTCTTATATTCCACAGTGTGTGTGTGTGTGTGTGTGTGTGTGTGTGTGTGTAAGTATGTAAGTACTAGGGCTTGAACTCAGGGCCTGAGCATTTTGCTCAAGATTGGCTCTCACTTAGGCCACAGCTCCACTTCCAGCTTTTTGGTGACTAATTAGAAATAAGTTGCAGGGACTTTCCTGTTTCATCTGGCCTCAAACCACAATCCTCAGAGCACAGCCTCCTGTGTAGGAGGTATTTCTGACCCACCTTACTAGTGAGGTGAGAAATGTCATTGCCACTTTTCTGGGAGACACTGAAGGGCAAGGAGTCCCTGTGGTTAGGCTGCTAGAAAGGTGAGTTAAGGTGAGATTTGGAGCTCATTCTATTATCAGGACTATAGCAGGCTGCTGAAAAGCTCGAAAATACATTGGCATTGTAGGCACCTTTATCAATTTGCAAAAAGCACACTTTTTTTTTTTTTTTGGTCAGTCATGGGGCTTCAACTCTGGGCCTGGACGCTGTCCTGCAGCTCTTCATCTCAAGGCTAGTGCTCTACCACTTGAGCCACAGTGCCACTTCTGGTTTTCTGGAGGTTTATTGGAGATAAGAGTTTCACAGCCTTTCCTGCCCTGGCTGGCTGTGAACCACAATCCTCAGATCTCAGCCTCCTGAGTAGCTATTACCGGTGCCTGGTAATAGCACACTCTTAAGTTTGGAGGTAGGTCACTAGTTTGATTCTGTCTTTTGCAGATGGAGAAGCCAAAACCCTAAAGGAACAGAGAGAGAACAGAAAGCAGAATGAAGTGTAGGCTAATGGGGCCAGATGAGACCCAATACTGACAAATAGGAAGCCTGAAATAAGGAAAGAAAATCCTGATAGGTAAGGTGGTTGATGCCTAAAA